AATCTGTTATCTAATTTTTTTAATATTTTTAATATTGCAGGCATAGTAAATATTTTTTATTTAAAGATGTGGCGACTTAGTGAAGTAGTGAAGTTGTTACACCCCCAAACAGCAGGTCTAGAGTTCAAATCCCACAGACAACGATTTTGAAAAAACTAGATCTGTATCAATAATGTTAAGATTATCGGTTGGATCCAGAAATCTGTAATCTTGGTCACACCTTCTTGAATAGAAGCTTTAGTGCAATAAATCCAGGAAACCAGAATTACCAAAAACCTATTTGGCAAATCCCGAGTTGGAAAGTAGCAGTGACCTTTGATAGTGCTACAGGAAGACTGAATTTGGAACCAGAGACTAAGACCGGAGAACTGAGCGACCAGGTTCTTAAGTGGAGGGACACACTAGCCAACCACCGGCTCACCACCAGAGGAAAAGGACTTGTGCTCTAGATGCATATACCAAGGGGAGGAAGACTATAAGGCACCTAGAGCCTGGGCAGACCAACCCTTCTGGGTTGCTAGCTAAAGTAAAAGAGAGACTAGTAAGAAATCCAGGAAAGAAAGAAGTTAGAAAGTGGGTACTGGAGTTGTTGTAAACTTTGCAAGGGCAGGATTACGTAAGTATAAACTAATTAGGAAGGTTGTGGCTTAAGATATGGATCAGGTTATAGCAGTATCCAAAAAAGATAGCTGGAAATACAGACCCAGTGGTGGCAGTACAACATGTTCTAGTTGGGAAAAAGTTACTATACACGCAGATAAGTACATATGTGGAATATATACTATTCTGTTAGGTTTACCACAAGAATAAATGCTTATGTGGCTAAAGTTTTAGAGTCATTATACAGCATTAATAATCTCATTAGGAGTATTAGGGTAAGCATGTTACAGAAATGGAGCCAGAAGATTTAAATAGGTATCCTCTATAGTTGGGTGTATATATGGTAGCTAGTGAGGATCCTAGGGCAGAATACTTAAATAGGTAACCAAAAGTTGTATGTATGGCTAGTCGTACTCTTATTAGTAAAATAATCAGAGAGCTTAAATAGGCAATCTCCTAGTTAGGTTGCAGGTATAGTGGCTAGTGTAGAACCCAGGCAGACTACTTAAATTAGGTACCAAAAGTACACATGTAGCTAGTTTTATCCTTGTGAAATTGATATAATATTGTAACTATCTGAATAAAGCTACATGCCAGAGGCCTAAGTGGTCACCTTAATATTTAAAAAAAAATATATATATATTTTTCTATTTATTATTGACATTAGAAATTTATGAGAAAAAAAGATAAAAGTGTGGAGAAATAGAAGATTATTAAAAACTAAGTGCTTGATTTAGTTAAAGAATATTAGAATTTAAATTAAAAGAAATTAGAAAATTGTTTTTTAAAGAGTATTTGATTTGGCAAATAATATTGCCAAGTTTTTTGAGGCTTGAGTGTATTAGAGAGGCTTTGCAAGAAAAAACATATTAGAAATTGTGAACAGTAAATTTTTTATTAGGAATATATTTAAGTATAGCTGAGATAATACTAGTTTGAATCTTATAACAGGTAGATTTAATAGATTTATTAGAAGTACTGAGTAAGAAGTAGAATTAGAAAGAAGGTTAGTATAAATCTAATTTGAGAATTCTTTCTATTTGTTAGAGTTTATTATTTTATAGTTAAAGACTCTTTGTTAGATTTGAGTTTTGTATCTGCATTAGGGTTGCATTGGTTCTAAAAAAGACCAGTTCAGGACCAGTCTCAAACTGGGACTGATAAAGACTATGAGACCATTAAAGAATTAGTCCAAGAACTGGTCCTTGTAAACATAACTATGATATACATATTACTCAATTAAATTACTTGATCAGGTGTAATATAGAACATATAATATTTATTTATATCTGACAGTAAATAATTATGTCATTTTTGGCCAATAAAATCATATATATTAAGATTAACATAATCATTTAAAGACCATTATAGGACTGAAGAACTGGACCAGACTGGACCATAAATACTATAATAATAGTCTTCTTAGAGACTAGACCAGACTATACTGTACTAATACAATCCTAGTCTGTATTGGCCTAGTAAAGTATAAAAGAATGACTAATAAGAGATTAAAATTTTATGATTACTAAGTGAGTTAGCATTAGTATTATCAATTTCAAAGAAAGTAAAGTAAGTTAAAATTGTATAGTAACTTCAAATATAGTTAATTTTACTACTATATCTAGAGCTCTGCTATGTAAGAAAGAAGAAAAGATATAGATAGCAAGATTATGCATGTTGTTAAAGATAAAGAATTGAAAAAGTTTAAATTTATTAGAAGGAGAAAGTGTTGTATTTATAGAAGTATTAAAGTCACCAAGAATAATAAAAAGTAATTTGAAAAAGGTTGCTTGCTAAATCTATTGTATAATGAAATTTTGAATTTGTAATCTTGTAGTTGAGTTATTGCTAGAAAGATAAATAAAGATAATACAAAATTTAAAATCATGTTTGAAGAAGAAATCTATAAATAGAGCATATCCAGAGTAGCTTTTGATCCTGTAAATATAGAGAGTAAAGTAATTATAGATTATAATAGCAGTGCCTACTTTGAATTATCTGTACAGAACCAATAATAGATATAAGATTAAGTTGAATAAGGTTTGGAGTAATATGAGTTGTTAGCTAGTTTAGTTTTTATTAAGCAAATAATATCAAGTTTATTAGCTAAACAGTATTCTTTCCAGACTTGTTGTTTAAGCTATTGGTTAAATTTACAAATATTGAGAGTACAAATAGAGAGATTGAGAGGGAAAGCAGATAAGTAAGAAAGAGTACATGGAGAAGTGGTAAAATTGTAAGAGTAATGAGAAGAGAATTTAAGAGAAATAAAATGTTTGGGATAAATAATTTCAAGATAGAGTATAATAATATAGTTAGGTAAAGAGCAAGATTCTCTTGAAAGATAGATATAAGCTTCACTATAGCAATTTTTAATTGATGTCTTGGATGTTACTCTATAACCAGTTTTGAGTAGGTGTAAAAAAAAGAAGTTGAGAGTTTGAGAAGATGAGATTAGGGAAAGTTGTTGCAATATAAAAAATTTGTTAAAGCAAATAAAAGGTTCAAGTGGTATAGAAAAGGTTTAACTTAAACCTTAGAAGTGTTTTTTACAAGGTTATTTACCATATACCTAGTTTTTACAGTTTTACTAAAATTAGAAGTACCCTAGTTTAGCATTAAAGTATTATTATTATCCAACTTTTTCAAATAAATAGGTTTGTCTACTTGTCTACTTATATCATTTTTCTTACTAACTACTAAGGATATATCATTTAGTAAGATAGTGGCTACTTCAATATTATTTGTAAAAGACAAGTTTATTGAAAAAAAAACTTAAGGAAGAGTGAGTTTAATGTAGAAATAGAGTTGAAGTTAAGGTTGAATTTTTGCTTGAGAAATTTTTTTGCTTGAGATATACAGTTTCTTTGTAATATTTAAAAATTTGAGAAAGGTTGATTATTAGTTTTTAATTACATCATAGTATTTGATTATAAATGCTAGAAAATAAGTATCAATATATTTGTGAGTAAAGAAGTTAATAGTATTATTTTTATCTTTGTTAAAGATGTTGTGGTTTTGTATAGCAATTGTATAGTATAAAAAGAGATATTTATAAAAGTAGTAGCTACAGTATCTTGGGCTAAAGTAGATATTGTTAAGAGCTTGCTTCCTGTTCTGTTGCTTTGACCAGTTTTTCTAAAACTTTGATAGAACAAGATTTAGTAAAAGAAGCTTTGTAATTTTTATTAATATATATTAAAATTAAATTGTTTAAGTGTTTTAGATTTTTTTTTAGAATAAATATTAAATAATTAGTTAAATATGTCCTTATATAGCTGATTTCTGTTATAAAAAAAAATTTATTTAAATAAAAGTAGTCTCTGCTATTACAAAAAAGTATATAGAAATTGGTTACTTTGGTAGCTTTATGTTCTTATCAGAGAGGGTCTTATAGTTCTTGGAATTCAAAGCTATTAGGTAATAGTTTAATTAATTAAAAAATAAGTTGTTTACAGATTTTGTTTTTAAAAGAAAAGTAGTTTCTGTTTTATTAGATAAAGTACTAAATTGGTAAATATAGTTCAGGTAAAATTTGTTAAACTATTTTTTGAAGTAGTCTAACAAGTTGTTAAGAGATAGGATTTGATAATTTTGAAAAAAAGTAGTTTTAAAAATATTAAATAGGATTTGAATATTGAATCTAGAATTTGATTTGATTTCAAATAGTGAAAGGTCTTTATCAACATATTTAACTGATAATTTGACTTTAGAATATTTGGGTCTTTGGCAAATTTTTTGTAATTGATTGACTGATAATTATTAGACAAGAATAGATAAAGATATGCAATATTAAAACAAAGTTAGATACAGTTTTAGATCTTGTAAGAAGGAATTGTAACAGGTGAGATAAAGATCTTTTTGTAATTAGTTTAGTAAAAAAAATAGTTGTAAATTGAAGAATAATGTTTTTAAATATAGTCTCTAGATACTTAAAGGGAATAGTTGTGTTTTATTAATATATAAGTTGTGATCAAAGATTAATTCAGTTAGAAATTCTAGACAAAAACTAGCCATAATATGGATGAGGTGTTTAAAGGATACTTTATATATAGGTTGATATAGTTTATCAGGTTTGATTTCCTTTTCAAAATAGAAGTCATAAAAATATTTTTTAAAAAATCTAAAGAGATAATAAGTCAATTTAGTTTGCAGTTTTTTGTTAGATTCTATATCTGTAGTAATAAGGAAGTTTAGAAGCTAGTTATATGATGGAGTAATTTTGTGTTTGTTAAGGGAGAAGAAGTGTTAGATTGGTTTTAGTTTTGGTCTTAGTTAATAGTTAAGGTTGATTGTTGTTATTGTTATTATTTTGATTAATTTTTGAGAAAAGTATTAATTTGTTGTTTTTTGAAACTATTATTTTAGTGTTAATTATTATTAAAGTTACTAAATTGTGTTTAGAAAGTAATTTCAGAGTTGTTTTGTTTGGTTTTTGGAGCTTGAGTTGGGGTAGCATAGTGTAAAAATCTAATTGTAGTTGGGATTACAAAATAATATTGGTTGTAGATTAGTTTTTGAAATTGGGCTGTTAATTAAAAATAAAGTGATAGGATTTTTGGATTTTTATTGTTGTTGAATTGTTAAATTAGATTTTTGGTTAGTAGCTATAAGAGAAATAGTAGAAGTAGTAGAGAATTTGTTAAATTAGTCAATTTGTTGTTGAAGACTTTGTTAGATAGCATGAATATAGTAGCAATAAAAATACTAGCTAGACTACTAGCATAATAAAAGCTTTCTTCTTGCTAAATAATATTACCTTGTGAAAGGTGTTGATTATTAGCAGATTTGCAAGCAATTATAGCCTAGTATTTAGGGCATGTGTAGTATAAAGAGCAGAAAAAGGTATAGAAGAAGTATTGTTATTATTGTTAGAGATATTTGTTTGTATAGTTAAAGATTGTAGAATAGTTTGTATTATATTCTGCAATTGTTAAGCAAGTTTTTTGGTTTGATGATTTGCAGTAGTTGAGTTGATATTGTAATTGAAATCATAAATTTGATTATTTTGGATAATAAATTTGGTATAGTATCTTTTGCAAAAGCAGATGAACTGAGCAGTAGAGAGTGAAGCAGGAAAGAATATATAACTTTTTGTTTATTATAGAAGTCTTTATTAAAGCATGCTATTAGCTAGAAGCTTTTAAAAATTAAAATAACAATATTGAGTTTGTTTTTATAAATTGCAACACTGTAGTTTCTGAAATATTTTTAGCAAAAATAATCAAGATCTATAGTGTCAGATACTTGAGCTACAAGAGTATGCATTATAGAATACTAGTAATAAAAAGTTCAAGAAAATATTAAAATTAAATAAAATCTGTTAGAAGTATATTTGCAGAGGTGTGCTAAATAGTTAGTAGATATACAGATAGCTGTGAGATTTGACAAATAAACACAAAGTATAGCACGCATTGTTATAATCTGTGCTCAGTTTTTAGTCATGTAATGTAGATCTATGCAGAAAATCATTCAACATACATACCAATTTTTATTCTGTATGTTTGTACGTACATTGAAAAGGGGTGACTTAATAGTTTAAAGCTAAATCTAGCTAAATCTACACACTACAACTACTAATCTTCTGTTCGAAGACCCTAAAGACTTCGATTTGGCAGGCAAAAAGAGATGCGGAGAGACTTGGTCTGAGTCTCTAAGTCTTGTTGAGTCTTGCTGCGGCATATTTGGAGGCTAAGATAAGTATACCTTGGTCTTGTGCTTATAGCAGTATTTGATAAACTTTTAGAGGAAGCTAAAAGTAGTTTCTTGGCTTGAATTTTTAGTGTGCTGGGCTGTAGTATTCTACTTTGATCATTAAGTTTCTTAACAATCGTTACATGGATCACGTGGTTACAAAGTATTGTCTTAATTTCAATTTACAGCCGATTTGAGGTAACAATGACATTTGATCAAAGCTTAATCAATTATATTTTATTATAAAAAGGGTTTTTGGGTTTTTAATCAACTCTCTTTCTCTCTCTAACTTAAGTATAGAGGAAATCACAGAAACAATATGAATTCAGCTTGTGTTGATATCATTTTTAGAGAACTTAGTGCCACTTCTACTTGAATTTCGAAGGTCAAGACTCTTAACAGTTTATCAATTATAACTAGATCAGTATATATTTCTATTCAAACATTTTTTTATGAGGAACAAGATAAGTATAAAACTACTGGAGCACTTTTACTGTTATTTATTTCAAAGTATTACTCAACTCAGTTCTCCCTTATTTCAGAGCAAGAGCAGCTTTGTTTTTATATATTTTTACAAGGTTTAAAATATACAACTTTCTCTTGAATTTATTTGCTAAGGCGAATAAATTCACTATATCTACTAAGGCGATTAAGGTGGATTAAGTAGATAAATTTGCTAAAGTAAATTTATCTGACTTATCGATTTGATCCAGGAGAAGGAGCCCTCGGATAACTAAGCTAAGTAATATATTTTTAATAATATTAATACTAATAATAAAATATAGATAATAATAAATAAAAAAAAATAAAAAATTGTAGGGTCAGATGACCGGAGCCCCTCACAACGTACAGCACAGCAATATGATGCGGCAAGAAAAAAATTTCATGTATCTGATATAATCAAAGTTTATTCTGAGTTCTCTTGACATTATTTATATATCACAATATGTTAGTATTAATATTATACAAATAAATGCATTAAGATTAGCATTAGTGGTAAATTAAATATGGTGCATAGATTAATAAATTATAAATTAATAGCTTTCTGGTTTAATTACAAGGTTAATACATTTGTTATCAATTTAGTTTCAATTGCATTTCA